CTTTTTCGATAATTACAAGCCGGGCTACATAATAGGTTCTACAGATGACCGAATTCAACCTTTATTTCAAAATCCTACTGTTTATTTCCTCGTTGTATGGTAATTTTTCGTTATGTTAATCATTCTTAAATCCTTGTTTTGTCACTTCGTTTAATCTAGATGCCCTTAATTTTTTCATATGTATATAATATATATATGGACTTGACAAGTAAATGTGTGCGAGATCAGACTGTTCGAAATGTAAAGCGCGAATACATCCCACATTGCTTTTCAGATAATCTCCGTCTTCTAATATCTATATCCGAATTTATAAAAGTGACTGATTGTTTCAAAAATAACTATCGTCAAATAGCGATTAGATATTATAATAATACGAAGTATATAATTGGAGTTGTACAGCTTATGAAAATAAATCATCGAAAAGAAAATTTTCTTTTCTGTTTACGTCTTTTTCTTATGATTCAATATGGGAATATTTCTTTCTTGTCAGTGCTGTAATGCAACGTAGAGTAGCTTCCAGATGACACCAGCAACATAGAATAGCAGCCATACGTGTAACTGATTTTCACATGCATAACTATATACACAGTTACTCATATATTCTTGACATTGTAAGTAGATCCATTAAAATGCTCAACTCTGACAAATAAAGGAATTGAATATTCGACCAATCTGTTCCAGGCGTGGCGTTACAAATTCTGTCACTTCCACCAAAGCATCTAGATAGTAGGCTAAACCATCACATATTAGAAATTATTCCATAGCTTATTAGGTAACATAAATTGCAAAAGATAAGTGAGTTGTTCTAATCATAACACAAAATGTTCATCAATTATAGCCTGACAACAATTTAAAACGATGCTAAGTTAGCCATTTATTTTACCTTACTACAGATTGTGAATATGTTTTCGCTGATATGGCGATGTAAATCAAAAATAAAATGTGTCTTGCTTTCGTATACTCTATTCACTGACATAACTTGATTCCTGCTAAAAATACAGTGAACAGATAATGTGATAGTCAGACGTGTGCTACTGATAAGATTTATCAGTAGTATATACATATAAAGAGACGTTTATCTGCTTGAAGACATCAAATAGCAGGGAGATAGATTTAATGTCAGAGAAAGCAAATATTAAAGCGTTGTGGAGATACATGGGAAACGTGAAAGGAACACAAAGAAACGCAATATGAAGGAAGAGTAGAAGTAGCAGGCAAAACACGGAAGATATGTACAAATATTGCGTTGAAGATAAGGTAAACATAATTTCATAATATATTGTTATTATTGTTACTCCTCTGGGTTCCTAGTGAAACATAGGTCTTCAACTACACGTCTCCACTTGCTTCTGTCTTCTGCTGTACTTTTCACCTGCATCCATGTTAGTCCATGTTGTTTCAACTCCTCTTCACACGATCTCCTCCACGTCACCGTTGGACGTCCCATTCGCCACTTCCCTTTCGGGTTCCACTCGAGGGCCTGACGCGTGATGTCACCCAGCGGCCTCCTCAGCGAGTGTCCAATCCATCTCCAATTTCTCCTGCATATTTGTTGAGCGATTGGTTCTTGTCTTGTTTGTTCCCATAGTTTCATGTTTGTGATTTTCTTCGGCCCTCTGATCTTCAGTAGTATAGAGCGAAGACAGTTGTTGATAAAGGTCTGCAACAGGCTGTGGGAAATATTCTTTGTGACCCGCCAAGTTTCTGATCCGTACGTAAAGAAGAACTGACTTGACGTTTGTATTGAAAATCCGAATTATGTTGTTGATGCAGAGTGACGAAGATTTCCAGATTGTTTTCAGGTTGATGAATGTGTTTCTCACCTTTCCGATTCTCGATTTGACATCTTCGTCCGTTCCTGTTGTATTTGAGACAATGCTCCCTAGATAAGTGAATGAAGTAACCTCTTTCAAATCCCTCCCATTGATGGTGATTGGCTCTCGATGTTGATGCTGTTGTTTTTGGTTGGTTGGTTATTTTCATAACCTCCGTCATGTCTATGTTCACCTGTCTTTGCTGCTTCTTCTTTGCTTCCTACATTGTACGAACATTCCAAGTCCCCATCCTCATTTTTGCTTTCATCGAAAGAAGGCACATCGACTGACTGGCTTCCCGAAGGCTTTCACCAGCCTGCGTCATTTCACTTCCCCGAATCCAGCGAAAGATAATGTTATTGTTTGTATTTTTGGTATTTTTAATATATTTATGCTTTGAAGTTTCTGTAGCAATTTGGTTAAGTTTTGGGGGTGGAGTTGCTAGCACCACGCCCCAACCCTCGCTCTTTGTCCGGGCTTAGGACCAGCCATAAAACTAGCGAGCTAGTAATCTAGGCGAGGTTCCATGATATATAGATACCATATTCCGGATTTCCAAGAAGTGGTTTTGTAGGGAATTTGTTTGATTGTTTGGAGGATTTCATCATGAGCTGACATCAGTAAGAGAACTTTAGAGGCTGACGTTATGGACGTTCGCGAATTGTACGGAGTATACTAACGCAAGATCTTATACTAACAACTTCTATAGTATTCGTTTCTCGTGTACCAAAGACAAAGCAAAACGCCAAAAATGATCGTTCAAAGTACGAGATATATTTCGGGACCAAATAGTAAACCGTGTTGAATGCTTAACTAGCTAGTGATCGTGCACGAACGTGACACGACGGTGTATCAAATGGCATGGATGCTTGACCGGAAGCCTTTAGCTAAACAAGTCGACTTAAACAGTGAGGGTCAGCATCCAATGTTCAGTGATGATTGCTGTGGTTAATAATTTTGGGGAATTATTTACCGCTACAGAACCATGGGAAAACAACCACTGGAGTCCTGGACAACTGTTTTGTCAGCCTAGATTGGGAGTCTTCACAGTACGCAGCCAACATAGGGGTTCAGACGCAAGGCCTCCTGGTTACAAGGTCATGAATTGGCAGAAGTTAGAATTCACGGGCCATTAGATTGGGTCCCAGTGGCCTAATGTCTACGAGCTCGCTCTATAACCAGAAGATCGTGGGTGAGTACTGCTTAAGAGTCCCAAACTAGGACGAAACCACTGTCCAGTACTGCAGAGGTGGTTTTCCAATGGTTTTCAAACCAATGTCAGCTCATGATGAAATCCTCCAACCAATCAAATATTATTTTGCCAAATGTTTCGTTTTCTACGGTTACAAACTTAATATGTTGCGTCATGTACTGTTGGATAGGCGGAACTGACGAGGATATCAAAGCAAAAATCGGAAAAGCAAGACAAGCTTTCACTACTCTCAAGTCTGTGTGGAGGTCAACAGCACTCAGCATGAAAAATAAGATTCGGATTTTCAACTTCAATGTAAAGTCAGTCAGTGCTACTATACGGATCAGAGACTTGCACTGCGCGTCATAAAGAGCATCTCAAACAAACTACAGACCTTCATTAACAGTTGTCTTCGCTCAATACTCAAGATCACATGGCCGGCCAGAAAAGATCAGCAACAGAGATCTCTGAGAGCGAACCAACCAGGAACCGATTGTGAAACAAATAGGCAGGAAGAAATGGAGATGGATTGGACATACTCTGAGGAAACAAACCATCAAGTGACATCACTAGACAAGCCATTGCTCGAGTGGAACCCGGCCGAAAGGGAAGCGGCGAGTTGGTCGTCAGTGCAAGGGTGACTTGGAGGAGGTCATGTGAAGAGGAGATGAAAACGTGTGGGCAGACATGGAGCCAGTTGAAGACTCTAGCAGAGAACGCAATGGAGACGCACGGCTGAAGCCTTATGTTCCTCTAGGAATTAAAGGATATAATAATAATAAGGTTCATTTTAAATGATGATTGTAGATAGAAGAGAAAAACTCAGATATGTTAAGATATTTAGACTCACAGGCTGTGTGTGTGTACGTGAATTACTCCTGAAGCTTCAGAACTCAAGCTGAAATCCCTATGCTCCACTGAGAACTCAAAAGAATGCAAAAAAATTAGAGTGCGACCTGCTAAGACGTTTGTTTCTTTTATGTGATAAATTCTAGGGATTTCAGATTATTTATTATCTATTTGTGTGAGGAATAAAGACAAATAACTACAAAAGACCTGAGATTCCCCATCCTACAGCTAGTTTAAAGCCTATAAAAGCTCAGCGACCCAAACTTCCAACGATAACCAACCAGTGAGCCGCCTTATGTCTGTCAAAAACTCAAAGGCAGGCAATCATACCGACAAAAAATACCGATGCATAAACGGATGTTTGGTCATCTCATTGTACATACTGTGTTTTTGAAATCAAAACAAGAGGAAGTCCCTAATTACTGCCTGATTTTCACATAACAAGCAAAAAAATCTTTTCATTCATTGACACATACCTTACATCTATCTATTCACAATCACATGTATGCTTGCTAATGACACAATCTCATTGGTTTAAACTCCAAGGAGTATCGTATTGGTTTATCCTTATAGACCAGTTTGGTCTCTCCCCCTCTCCCCCTCTCTATCTCTATAGACAAACAGAAAATATGTAAAAAAATTGTTTTATTAGCTATTGAAGAGAGCAAAATTAGCGGATCGATCGATACTGATCAGTCTGTTATATGTGGGAATGAAAGGCAGCAAGATTAGTTGACGTGGAATTCAATGGGTTGGGATAAATTAAGTTGGAGAAATATATTTCTCTGCTTGTTTCTCTTCTTCTTCGTTAGTCGCTGCTTTAAAATCTTCCATTCCAAATTTTCTACTTTTTTCTCTTCCTTGTTAGGGAGTTAGTCATATTAGTTGTTTGTTTGTTTGCTAACTAGCTAGTTATTGTGTGTGTTGCTGTGTGTGTTTGTTAAAGCCGTATTCCCTACCTTGTTTAACAATTCTCTTTTGATCGGGTCATCCATCTGCTTCACCAATCGATAGTGAAGCCTAAAAAAAATTCTTGAGTAAATTACAGACCATCTGTTATTGGGATAACAGTTTATCTTATACATTGAAGAAAATAATTTTTCCCATTTTTTTTCGGAGTTTTATTTCATCCGCTTTACAACACACTAGTAGAAATATTAGTAGTAGTAAGGACTAAGAAGAATTGAAAATGCCAGAAGAAGATAAAACTGCTGGTTCAGCTGAGAAGGCGGAGAATATAAAACCTGGTGAAACAACGGAGACAAAAGTCACTGCGTCGAATACAACAAGTGGAACTGCTGCACCCGCTGCTGCTGCTGAACAAGAAGCAGAAGAAGTTAAAACGTATAAATGTGTGAATCTTACAGCATTTGGTGGTTCCAAGCATGTACGAATCGATACGAATGAAGTGAAACCTGTGGGGAAAAATGAAGTAGCTATTGAGGTGCAAGCATGGTAAGTCATTTTGTTGCTTTTTTGATGTTTGTTTTTTCATTTATTTGAGTTCCGGGAGGAATCTTATACTTCAGACTTTAAAGTTTTAGTCGTAGTGGTATTGTTTCTTTCACCGTGTGAAGGATTACTAGCTTCGCCCCTGACATTCCGTCTTTTTCTGGTGTATTACCCTACTGTCAAACTAGTATAGCTTTAGAAATTCATTGGGCGGGAATCAAACCCGGAGTTCCTGTCGTGTGGTTAATATGCATTTTACAAGTGAACCATAGATGCCCGCCGTTTTCGATTATAGCTAATTATTGAATGTTTTTGAGTGCTTTTCTCTGATATAATCTCATTCTTTTTGATGTGCACGGGATTTTCTATACCTCGGAGTTGTAAAATGAAGATTTTTTGGGCACAATTTATTACTTGTCCATGGCCTGTTTTCACCATATGAATGACATTTAGAAATGGTCATAACGCCAACGGGCGAATGATGGTTTGAGATGTGTAATGCAAGCTACCATGCTTATTGAATGCATCTTATTAGCTTACAGGGAAGAAAATACTGAGATATGAAGTTACCAGGAGATTAGAAGTAGAATATTTCTAAAACTTTATTACATCTAGTGAAAGTTTGAAGCTCCTGAAATGATCCAGATGGAAAATAATCAACATTTCAATTTCTTCATCGCAGACGTTGTAGATAGAAAGTTATATGAAGGATATTTGGGCACTGGAATGTAGCTTAATTCTATCATGTAATAATTTTATTTGATAAACGATGCACAGTAATACAGTATTGTTGATTGATGAAATTTTGAGCACCATTTTTTGCTCATAATTCTATCAAGACCCAATAATGGAGTTATATAAACAAAGTTTGCATGTGTATATTTCTGTAAAAAAGTAGTAAAATAGAAGATTAATTTATAGAAGGACTGAAGAAAATCTGTCTAAATTTTGATGCTTTAATTCTGACAGTCTTTCACAAGAAGATGGCTTGAAATCAAAGTTAAGCAGTCACTGTCGGCATTTTCATATTAATTTGTTTATTAGATATATCACACAGTGAAACAGTACTATCTACTGGATGACTAAGTCTCAAACACTACTAATTATTGTTCATAATGATATCAGTTACAACTACACAACAGCAAAACTTGTTCTTTCATAGTTTTTATTCTAATTTCTTATTAGTCGTAGGGGTAGGCGAATATAGCAAGCCCTAGATTTATAGTATTATCCCATTTGGTTCCTAGTGGAACACAGGGTTTCAACGATACATCTCCACTTTGTTCAATTTTCCGCTGTCCTCTTCAGCCAGGTCAATTATCGACTATAGTTTCTCATCTCCTACATGTCACCCTCTCACGGATGACCCACTCATCGATTCCCATTGAGATTCCGGTCGAGTGATGGCCCGCATTGCGCGCGATATCATTCTATAGCCTCCTCAAAGTCTGCTCAATGCATCTTCTTTTTCTCCTACATATCTGTTGAGCAATCGGCTCTTGCCTGTTGGCTTGTTCGCAGCCAGAGTTTCTTGTTGCTAATTCTTTCTCGCCGGCTGGCTGGCCATTTGATCTTCAGTATGAAGCCAGTCAGCGAAGGGGGCAGCTGTTGATAAAAGTCTGCAGTAGCCTGTTGGAAATGCTTTTCTTGACACGCTCGCCAAGTTTCTCAACCATATAGGAGAACTGACTTCACATTTGTGTTGAAAAGAATCCGAATCTTGTTCCTTATGCTGGCTGAGTGCAGATTTCCGACTGCATTTCTAATTCTGGCTTTGACATCTTCATCCGCTCCGTCTGTAGTTGAAATAATGCTTCTTAGATAATAAGAATATAATATTAGGGTAAGAAATCTGAAGAATAGTTCTGCTATAGCACTACATGCGATAACACGTAGCCACACAATAGGATGCGATAAGATAACAGTTCTAAAAGCTGATGTGACAGGATGGAGGGAGAGATTAATAATGGAAGCTTTGCTTATCGAATCGACTGCAAATACGTGTAATAGGAATGATTCAACACCTATTAAGCCAGACAACTAGATAATTCTACTACCCCTATGACGACAAATAGGAAAGAATAAAGAAAACTATAAAATGAAAGTTTCGAAGTTGTGTAGTTACAATTGATGATATGATTATGAGCAATAATAGTTTTCGAAACATCATCCGTAAATAGTACTATTTCACTGTACAATGTACCTAATAGACACATATATGAAATCATTGTCAGTATAGAACATGAAATAAAGTGTTTACAGATTCACTCTAGCACGTTTTATACCCAAATGTCTGTTTAAAAGAAAATTAAGCAGGGTGTGACGAAAAACGAAGTAGGCCATCTCATTTTCAATCTCTCCAATTCTATAGCAGTAAACTTAAAAATCCGTTGAAGATATTACAACTTTACATTTGGGATAACCATACAGAATGCTTAGAGTCTGGAAATTCCTTTCATACTCTATACCTCTGAAGTCAATTTTAAGTGTGCATTTGTAACAAAAATAATAATTATTATATTGTTATAGGTTTATGTAATCATCATGGCTTTTTAAAACGAGACTCTGTAATATCACACAAATTGAAACAAGGGCGAGTAAATCAGTGTTTTAGGAAAGCTCAAAGCAGTCACCAATCGCCTCTCTGCTAGTTGACTGAAACTCATGCATGAAAACTAGAGACGTAGTTAATTCGATGAGTTACTAGATGCATTAACTGGAAATCGTCAATTTCTGTTAGAATATTATGTGGCGTAGATCTCCTAGCCTACTTTCAGAAAGCACTGGCAGCCTTCATAACATAAATACAGTTCATTCTCAAGTGCATGACTCATACATTGTAGACACTGTAGATCTTATGAATACATTTAACTACAACTAATGGAGGATTAAACTGTGATCAATCTATTCTAGACGCAGAATTCACCTTCCCTAACTTCTACGGGAACATGTAAATGATAGGTTATGTGTGTAATAATTGTCATAACTCTTTAATTCTGAATGGTAGTCAACATTTATGAACTACATACACGTATTCCCCTTCACAAACCTTGTGTTGACAGCAGTCACCTACATTTCATCGCATATCTCCATCAGTTGAACAGCTATCGCAAATTGGAGTTCACTGGACAGCTTTTTCATCATATTTTTGTCATTTTTGAGCCTCGCCTACACATGATCCTGTCGAGAGTAGTACCAAGGACCTACGAATCATGTGATGAGTGAGTCACTATACAGCTATCTGATTCCAAATTAGTGGGTATGTTGTAATTCGCTCGCAGCATGACTTGAAGATCCTGCATTCGTATAGCTGCTAAACTCATGGATGCTTATTGTTGAAGGATTCAAAATTTGGAAGAAATGGGCGTTTATCACTCTTTATTCGTATCACGGACGTTGTTTCATGACAGAATCGTAACTGGAATAGATTAGATCCCTACGAAGTATTATTTGAAAAACTTCCTTTTTCTCATAGACTTGTCCGCCAATATTCTATCCAGATGTTGACACTAACTTGTATTTAAAACATCAGGGTAAACTTTTGAATTGAAACCTCCTTCATTGCATGCTTAATTTGACCATAAACACTCTGGTATTCTAATGAGATTCACGTGTATTTAACTTCTGACTCTTGCAGTTTCGTATGGAGTTCATCATATTTCATCGATCAGTTTGCTTTTGTCAAATGAGCTGTATGCGTATCCTCTTCATGCTAGTTACTTCTTCTTCTCTAGTATGCTGAATTTATAAGCTGGCGTTTTATATTATCGTATATTGCTATCTGAATATATCTGCATTTTAGTTAGTGACTTCGTGACATTCAACCTCAAGGTTTACGTTTTCAGGGAGTGTGTCATTATCCTTTAGCCTTACGAACATGGAAAAGTCTGGATACTCTGAATCTGTTTCACTGAGTTCAATCGACTACTTCAACTGTAGCCTTAATACTTGCGTACAACTCTAGAATTAAAATAACTGTAGTATAATGGTTGGAGATTTTGAGTAGCTGAATTTTTAAATGTCATTTAGTCTCAAACGATAAGTAGGTTATACCTAGTTCACTCACGTTTCCATCAACAGTTGGTGACGACTAGGTAGACCTAGGATTCAGGTTCCATGCGTATATATCAGCAGTATCTAAAACTAGTTCAGTCTAAGAAAGTATGATCACATCATTGTTTTATTGCTTTCCGAGTGAAATGGAGGACTTTAGCAGCGTATCTTCATTTCACTCTGTCCTGTGCAGTCTTTTTAATCTGGCTTCATAGTTTTCCGCATAAGCAGTCATTCTTTCCTCACACGATCTCTTTCATTCCAACCATAAAGTGATGCATAAGTCATCATTTCCCATTAGGATTCCCACAGATTTCTGGAGATATTAAGACATAATTATTTCAAAAACAAAATATCTGATCAAAGAGTATCCTCTTAGATAATTTCCTCTTCTGGTTCCGCAATTATATATATATGTTTATAAACATAGAATATTCTAGATTAGTCGTCAATAACAATATTGGTGGTTTTTTAAATAATATCGATTTGTTAAGTAAGACCACAATGGAATTACAGTTCATTAAAGATGCATAAATTATAAAAAGCATAGAAATATATTACCAAATAGAATATCAACTAAAATTTAGAAAATTTCTACAAAAACTTGGGGATCATTCATACCTAGATGGCCAAAGTAAGAACAATGTCTGAACTGCCTTCCTTTGGGCACATAAATCAGGCTTCTTAATGAGGTTCCCAACGGCCAGCCTCGGCAATATGTAGTAGATGAAGTCTTAAGGCGAAGTTAAGATTTGTTGGTATGCGGTAAATGACTTTGAAAGTCCCCTCGTTGACATCGTCCTTCGACACTTGGCTAAATTCTCATATTCCAATAATCTAACTACCTTTAATCTACTCATTTGACCTGTGAAGTTTGTCTCACAGTCAAATTAAAAGGGCATAAAAAAGAAAATCATTTTAACTCTCCACTGTATTGAAAACTTTTCAGTTAAA